CCATTTGAGGCGTCTGGGCCACAGTCAGCGTACCCCCGAAATGGAAACCTGGTGATCTCTTTATGGTAATTTGGTGCGTCCCCCCCTTCAGCACCGCAGATGGCACGTGGGTTGTGCGAAACTTGGTTTAGGGCCATTTTCTGTGATGTGAAGAGACTCCTCAACACCACGGGGATGGGAATCCTGCTTTGGCATCACGGATTTCGGGCTAATTTTCTACATGGTTTCCCTTCTTCCGCCACTTTTCAGGCGCGCTAAAACGCCTACCCAATGACCGGTTGATCACAAGAGGGATAGCGGTACCAAGCAACTTCCAGCGAATATTTTTGGACATGGTTCTAAAGGCTTCGAAAGGGTGTAGTGGCAACTGAGCAGTGCGCAAACCAGTAGAACATTGGTTCTGGCAAGTCACAAAGGTTTTTTCATGGGGCCCGTTCTGGGTGTCATAAAGGATCTTTCATGCAAGCTCATCCAGTCGGCGGCTTTCGGTGCTCTGAACGCCAGGGCGCGCAGGTGGCTTTGGCCGGTGCCGTGGGCTTCACCAGGGCCAGGCCCGAGATGTCGTGGGCCGCCGCCAGACACGCCTCGCTTCCGCCCCCGCTTGCGCGGAGAAGAGTGGGGCAGCCCGAATGGCCCTGAAACAAGTCATGGCTGATTTATGAACCCCATCCCGGAAAAATCAATGACTCGTTTTGGGACACTTGGTTTGGCAATTTGAGAGAAAGCCCCGGCGTTAAGGAGGGCTGACCTACATGTTTTGGGCATCATCCCATGTTTGATAAGTTGCGACACTTTATTGGCAACCAGGGATTCATGACCAATAATGAAGTCTCATGATTTCTATGGTCTTCCTTGCTGTGGCTCTCAATCAGTCTTGGATTTGAGGTTGGCCTATGGGGTTCGTATATTTTCCACGTACCCTCCATAAGCCGCCGCAATCCAGCTTGGGGTCCTCAACAGCGGTTCTTATGTTATCCACCTCAACATCCCCTTTTCCAGGAGGAAAAAAACAGTCTTGTGGAAAAGCTGCTGTGGCAATTGCATCTTTGAAGGAGCCCTTGAGCTCAGACCGCATCTCTGACAAACACTTCGCTATTGAACACTTATTCGCCCGCAAGCTGTTAAAGAAGCAGATGGACTAAACATCTTGCCGTTGACCCGATTTAACAAAGCTAGGCAGCAAGAAGGGATATCAGAGTTGGTCACTCCGCCATACCTGCAGATGTCCCGACACATTTTTGGTTTAAGCCGGTTGCTGGCAAAGCATTTCTGTCTGACAACGCACGTACAAGCAATTTGTTCCACTTGCATATTGCAGGGATGGAAAAAAAGGAGCGACGCATCCTTGCGGTCTGTGTGTGTGTGTGTGTTGATGTGTGTGTGTGTGTGCTGGATTGTGTTTGTGTCCTTGTTTGTTGGTTTGTTCGATGGTTGCTTGTTTGCTTGAGGTCTATGTTGGGCACAAACCAGTGAAAACCAGTGTTGCTGTTCAGGATTTTGTCTCTTCAGAAAATGGTTCAACACCGCAGAGAAATCGGGTGCCTGAAGAGACGCATGGCTGAACCGCAAAACTGCATCGTTTGTCTCTGCTTTTGGGGTGTCACCACCACAAAGCCCGTGGATGATGCATTCCAGCCAGCCAAATCAAAACCGCCATGGTCTGCGCATGGTCGAAAATGCGACCCAAGTCTGCTTCAAAAAGGGATGAGTAACGGTGCTGGTTTTCCCCTCAGAATCTTGGGACCTCGAAAAGAGCCCTTTTGAGGTCCAAGAGCTTGATATACAGAGATCCTTTGCCCCCAATAGCGAGTCCGATGAGGGTTCTGACATGACTTTTCCTGAAACCCTTTTTGTTGCTAGAACAGGAAATACCAAAAGGAAACCACCTCTTTCCCCCCCCCCTCCCCATATTTTGACACATGCTGTGGATGGACGAAATCCTGCACCACCTAAGAAACTCAAACACCTGTAAATACCAACAAACAATGGTTTGTCCTGGATTCAATTTGCTGCAGGATTTCGTAATATTCCCCCCCCCCCCGGCCGCCCAAACGCCAAGGCGCCGCGAGCTTGTCGGACTGGTCTGCAGTGCCAGCCTCCAGAACCTCAACCCACTGATTGGTTTGTTTTTGTCGTGTGCCAAGAGAAGGCACTCACAAAAAAAAACGGCCCAAAACGCCCGGCTTGTTTTTTCTTTGTTTGTCCAGCATGGAAAGCCAACGTGGATGGGATTGTGGCTTAACTTACCCTCCCACCGATAAACATGGATGTGAATTGGTGGGAGGGCACCCAAAATGGAAAACTTGAAGGGGTTGGAATTCCTTCTGTTTGTTCCAGCCCCCGTATTTAACACCCAGTTCTCTACATGTACAAAGGTCCGCGCCAGGCAACGGTTGGTGGGTGGCAAGTCACCTCCATGCGCGGCACCAAAACCAAAGAAACCAAATTGGGTATTGGTTGTTTCATTGGAATGGCTTGCGGCAAAGATTGATGAATAATT